TATATATATATATATATATATATATATATATATATATATATATATATATATATATATATATATATATATATATCGAAGTAGTGCACCTCACCATTTGGAAGAAAATGGCCTAGGAGGATACGTACTTTGTCGAAGTAAATGGTAAGACTCTAATAAATTTAATTAATACTCACAAATAATATAAATTCCCATTAACTTAATCAACTAATTCTGCAACCAGCAGAACTGACTAATGGCTACTTGCTAGCCACAACGGAATATTAATCAATGATTCAGTTAATCGGAACTTGACAAACTCACTCTAAATTAATAAATATCACTAGCATTTATATAGTACATGTTATTTTATTGATAAAGACTTTTATCTTTCTTCCATTTCTTGCAACATTTCTTATGTTTCCTATAAGGATCCTAATGACACTATTTATTTTGACAGAATACGTATCCCTCTTTTTACATCATTTTCTCCCAAATGGTAAGACGCATCACTTTGATGTTCATATACCCTTAATTTAATTTTAAATGGGGCTAAAAGCTTATACAAGCTTAACCTGTTTGATGTTGCTGCACCGGTTAGACAGCTTATCCCAAGCATACGGTTACGTCACAGTTTCGAAAGAGCACTTGCGTGCTTTGAGAGACAAAGAGATACTCTATGATCTTGCCGCAGTTGTCGAATTGTTCATTCGCACAGTGGCTTATCTCTATCTGTTTTTCCGGTCCTGAAATGACTTCCTCGTACACGTTCCAATAATTTCACACCTATCGTGTTCTGCGACCTTTTTATTTTTATAGAGGACAACTTCAAAGACTGTCACCCCAACGTTTCGGGTTTCGACGTTTGCGTGCGGGAAGGACTGAATGCGATTCGGCCTTATTTCAAAACCGGTCTACTGCAATACAACGTGCTCCCGTTCGACCCCTTTTACGCCAAAGAGATAACGGCTAAGAGAGGCGTCCAGAATTTTGGCTTCACCTTAACACTCCGCAATGTCACCGAGCACGGATGGTCACTCAGTAAAGTGACGAAATTCGTGTTCGACATGAAGAATTACAAGGTACACATGCACGCGCGCCGCTTGTCGGTGTAATAACATTATTTACACCGCCGCGCGCGTAAGGGTGCTTTCAACTATAAAATATACACCTGTAACACCTCACCGATGCATACTTTACTTAATATGCGCATCTCACGATGGAGATATGTTTGCATTTTATTCGTCCCACAAAGATACATTTTTGTAGATTTTATTATCTGGTAAAGATAAAAGAAGGATTAACGACTCGATTGTATTCTCTTTGTGATGGGTGATGAAGAAGTGAACTAATCCTTGAATATTGCATTGACCAGATCGTGTACACGCAAAGTTTTCCGGAAAAGTCGCTGACGGGTAGCTACGAATTTAAGGGTACACTCTTCAGCACCAGCATTGTCAATAAAGGGACGTTCACGATGACTCTGTGTAAGTGCCTCGAGAATTTCAATCCGTTCGATCAGTTCGCTCTCTTATCGTAGAGCTCTGTGATGATCGAAGGGACGAATGCCTGAAAACGATACGCTACATTTTTCTGTCTTTTAAAAATGCGTTTCCCGTAAATTAAAGAAACTTTCTCCGCGTTTTCCTCGGCGTTTTTCACGCTCCTGCCTTTCAATTACTACCGACAATTGAGCGCATCGACTCGAATAAGTTATAAAAAATAGCCAAACGACATCACGGGCGTTTGGAAAATCATTAAGGAGCGAGTATTCGCCGTCTCTTTTTTTTATAAAAGATAATCTCCTTCGACGTTGCAGACGATTTGATACAAACGACCACCGTGACGAAACTGCCAGGCCAAAAGATACGCGCTCAGATGGACGTGCAGACTATTAGAGACATGAAGCTCCACATCAGGAATATCCTGTCTGGCAAGGAGTTCCTTGAGAATATGCTCGACAAGATAATTAACGGCGCCTGGCAACCGGGTTTCGTGGTGACGCGTGGCTTGATCAACGAACTTGTCTCGACAGCTTTTACGGAGATCTTCGACACTAATTTCCGCAATTTCCCCTTCGACCAAATCTTCAGGCCAAGCACGTCGTCTAAAACTTCAGCCACGAACTCAACGACGACGAGACGACACGGGGTTGGTGCTGGAGCCTCGTTTACTTAATGGATGCACGTAACGAATGAAAAGAAGCTCGCTCCTCGGCGAGCTGCTGTGAGAGCGTTATGCGAGAGCGAATTTCGTTCGATTACTGGAGCCTCGCGACTCTCCCGTTGCGCTTACATCATCGTTTTCGCTATGTGCGTGCGCGAGCGTGTACGAATTAGCGCATTGAATACACGTGTACGTGTACCTATCCATGTCCATACAGCAAATATACACACCACCTTTTCTACGATCTTAGGTATGTTTTTTCCTCGCTGAACTAGGTTGCACTTTTTATCTTTAGAGCGATTACCGAGTGGTATAACTTAGGCAGCGAGCACAGAGAAGAACGTAAGCAGTAAGACTTAAGTTATAAGCAAATTGACCAATCATCAGGTGATGTTCTCCTTACAATCCAAGGATAATCAATTGTGACCGGTTAATCTTCTTACTGCTTAGGTCGTATTGCTTACGTTTTCCAGTGTGTCATGGTTCTTAGTGTTGAAAGCAACAGGAACGGAGTTCCATTGCGACAGCAGTCCAGCTGGAAAGAACAGTTTCAGCGTTTCTCAGCCTGAAGATTCCCGACGACCTTAACGTTCGCTGCGCTTCTGAATCAGCATTGTCCTACATGCGCGTGCATTGCTGGTGCATGAACACGGTGTACACGTTTTCCGCCGAGCATCACATACGCTCGCGGAATGCTAAAAGCCTTTGATCGGAGCAACGCGGGACGAATGAGTCTCTTTTACCTGAATAGTCGCTCGCCTTGAGGAGCCCCGGTCTTTGACCCTGCATTCTTATAAGACATGTGGGAACATCGCACCCGTCGTGGCAACGAGAGAAAGTGCATTGACATGTGGATATTGTGAATACGCGAATTACGATGTGTCATTGATTTCGATCGTTGACACTTGAGCCACCGAATTCTAATCGATCGTCGCTGCCATGCAGCGGCTTTGCTCAATTTGTCTTATAAATCTCATAAATCAGTTTCAATATCCAAATCCGGAATTCACAAGGTTGCCCACCTTCGAAGAAAGACACGGGCGAGACGCGTTGTGCATAAAAAAGCTTTATACGCTCTACGAGAACGCGACACCTCGAGACACTGAGAAAGAAATACTTGGAAATTTATTTGCGTGGGATATAAAGTTTATTCACGGAAATCAAACTTCACTTTGCTTCACAGAAATAAACTTTATCTCCTACAAATAAATTTTAATTTTTCGTTTTAGTGTAAGTATGGTGATCGACGATTCATGCGGTAAATTTGAGTTGAAATTGCGGTTCTACGTTAGTCTTGCAAATTCTGTCGAAATTGAAGGATCAATGGGGAATCTCAAAGCATTGTACAGGCTATTGCCTTTCCTTGATTATATTCGCTATTAATATTTATTATATAGAGAACAAAGTTTGGTTATGTTAACACGAAGTTTGATCTAAGTGAGTGAACCAACGCGTTTTGGTTGGAGAAGACGGAATTTCTGGTTCTTGTAATCAAATTTGAATCATAAGAAATTCTCCTTTTACCAGAATTGGCAGGGTTAATATGGGATCAAAATTTTGGCTTAAGGATCGAGTCTTTCTGCATCCGTAAATCGTTAATTAGAAACTGAAGTAACGACGAAAAGGTTAGTGTCAGAGTGAGAACGTTTTCAATGCCAGGGTCGCTGGAACCGGCATGCAAAATGCCTACCAAACTTGACCTCTATCCGTACAAATATCACTTTTAATTTCGAACAAAAGTGACGGTTCAAGAGAGTGTACTGACCGTCTCGAGGACGATCCGGCTTGTTTGCACAATGAATTACTTTTTTTTATCAGAAAGAAGGAAGCTCTTAATAATTGAATTGTCAAACATCGCCGAGGTTGTTCAGGTCGAACCGAAATCCGGTTCCTTCCATTTGCGCCTTCACCCCGTCGTTCTCACGAGCCCCTGTCGGGACTTTCCGATCGTTTCAGATGCTAGTCGAATGACGGGGCAACAAGAAAGCCGTGGTGCGGGACGCGATCTAACTCGCGCGGAGTCTCGCGCGTGCATGTCGGAAACGTGACACGAAACGAACGTGAGCGAGTCGATTAACGGTGCTTAACATGTCCGCGGCTCCTAATTCGGCCCGTCTTTGACGTCCGTGCTGACGTCCGTCGAGTACTTTCCTTTAGTTCAGACTCGTCGTCCATTTTTATAGTCGATTATCGATTCCGCGACACGTCCTGTACCTGCTATTCAGCCTTTGTTCGCTTGCGATGGGCCTGTGCGTTCAGATATTCAGACCGTGGTGTCTACTACTCGCCTAAATTGCGCAATTTAATAAACCGCACGATCGCGCCGGCGGATCGCATTCGATTTAGCGCACGCGACCGCCTAATTAGCTGGCGGAGAAAAGTGCTCTTTTCTTCTCTTCTCAGCGCGATCCGTCGTTCACCGTGCGTCGGTCGTTAAAGCGCGTACCACTTACTGCCGCTACTGCGCGGCTAACAGAGAAAGAAAGTCATAACAAACGCCGGCAATTATCGGGAAAGTAAAACGCACCGATACATCAAATTAATCAGCGTGTTTCTTCGTTCCCACTAGGAGACGAAGTATCCGCGTCGTCGGTCAAAGCAAAAGAGCGGTGTCACGTTTTATGGGAACATCATCCAATGGCCTGTTGTTTACTATGGTTAATTTCCAGCTGACCTCGGTGGGAATTAATAAACGATCTTTCGTGAAGGTTACACCGCTCCTTTTCGCTCTTTATTGCACCGTAAAAAAACAACAATAAAAACATTTATGTAGCGAAACCCGTAGTTCAATTATATCACGAACGTTCATCAGATCGACTCGAGCAGACCTGCTCTAAAATTAGAAAGAGTAAAACGAAAGGAAACCAAAAGAAAGACGAGAGCAGCTTGGACTGAAAAAAATTTAGATATAACATGATAGAACGGGCGAATATGAACTACAGCTAATGACAATTACATGGAATTTTGCAAAATGCAGTTAAAATTTTGCGTATTCGTATCGGCTCTTCGATGTTCAGCTCGTTCAGTTATTCTTCCACTTATAAAACGCTCTGAGAAAGAACAAAAGGGTTCTTTCATACATTTCAATAACGTATGTAAGATTCATATTAAAGGAATGCTAAAGTCGATGACGAACAATATCGATAACGTAGAGACGATCGTTACTAATACAATCACTCTATTCTTTTCGTATTTCTTATATATACAGAACTTACGTAAATGTATGATGCTTTGTGATTTACCATATACAGTGGAAAACCTAACCACGTCTATGTAGAGACATTTCTGCAAACTTTTTCAATATTTTTAAGCTTCTGAATTCAAATGCGAAGATAGAGCAATGTTCTTCAAAATTTTTTCTTTTTAAAGCATTCATACTTTCGGTACGTACAAGCGAACTTTTGAATTAAGAAAATATTACGCTAAGCTTGGATTAGGTACATATTAGGCTGACAGCTTGAGATTAAAAAATTTTGACATTTAAATTTTTTTTTCGTTTTTGTCATATTGAAAAATACTCCTATTTATTTTTATATACTTTTATTGCGTAAAAGCATTTGTAATTCTCTACATAGAGAGAATGATTTGGTTGAATCAAATAAACGCTTCTTTGGAATAGTCCAAACGAATTTTTTGATTGATCAAAAAAAATTTCGTTTGAAGCAACAAAAATATTTATTTACGGCTTAATTCCAAAAAATATCTTTGTTGTATTAACCAAATAACTTGTTTGGACTATTCCGATAAAACATTTATTTGATTCAATAAATCGTTCTCCCTGTATATTAATACGACATAATTAATACGACATAAACTTTGCAGAAAAATATCAGTATTCTGTCGGTAAAGTTTTCAGTTTCGACATCCCTTTAACAGTCGTTATTTAAAATATGTCACATGAGATACCGAGATCTGAATTTTAAATTGTATCAAAATTTTTAATTTATGTCATATAATATATGTAACGCATAATTATAATCGCAATTCATCTGAGAAGCTCACATTTAACTCTAAACTCGAATCTGAGCATATCATGTGAGAAAAATCTCACACACATACACAAACAAAAATTATTAATACAGATTTAAATCTGAATTATTAATTCAGATTGAAATCTGAATGAATAGCTGTGATGAGAAGCGTCTCTACGCATGCACGCACACATGTTCGCTCTCAACTCTTTCTCACTTATTTTTATGATTTATTTATTTCCTGTCTGGATATCCTGAGATCCAAGGATATTAGTGAACCCGTCGATCAGAGTCCCGCTCTCGGCGGCCTCGAGCTTCTTCTACTTCTTCGTGTCTGGGGCCGGTATAGCGGGGGGCAATGTCAAGGTGTTATAAGGCCAGGCGCATCTCTGCCCACCGATCATTCCACGTCGAGAAACCCAGTTGGTTTGTGAGTTCATCGCCGACCTCGAAGTTGACCGTGACAAGAGAAGGAAGAAAGACAGGCAGGAAGAGAGGAAACGGACGCCTGCAAGTAAGACGTCGTAACAAAAGCCAAGAACATGAAGAGTGCCGTACTACTGTGCGCGTGTTTGCTGCTGATCGGCGTTGGGGCTGTCGGCAGGTACAGGGGCTTAGAATTCTTGGAACCGTGTTCTAAGAGGGATCCCAAGCTGGAAGCCTGCCTCGCCAGGTCGGCCAATGTACTCACCGAGCACTTTCGTGAAGGTGAGATATATCTACGCTAGTTTATGGGCTTTTTTAATTTAGTTTGTTTAAAAAAATCGTCGGTCAAATATCTTATTTTGTTCGCGTTATTTTACACAAATAAACCTAATCTGGTAAGCTGCGTCAGATTTATCTGATGCCGTTCGTTTTTTAATAAAAAACTCGAAGATATGTAGTGAAGAAGCTGAGAAATAAATTCTAAATTCAAATTTTTTTGAAATGTTTCTGAAAATTTTCATTTTGCTACACTGAGAGAAAAATATAGTTACCTTTGGCGTCAACTATACGCTTTTGTAATTTTAACCACAAAAATAATTAGAGGAACCATTGTTTTAGTAAGTATTATTAGAAAGATGGTTCCTTTAATTATCTTTCTAGTTAAAATCACAAAAAAGTATAGTTGACGTCGAAAGCAACTATATTTTTCAGTGTACGATGACGTTCATTCGTGCGTTTACTACGATGAAATAAATCGAAAGATATCTCCAGACTCAAGTACAGTTAAGCCTGCGTTTTTTGTGATATCGAGTGAAGGTACGGCGGATGATTGGAATTGCGGTACGTCAATGTATACCACGCGCACGGCTCTCGGTTGTTAAGTTTTTTACTTCACGCTCTCTGTATGGAATGTTAATATCTTTTGTTATTTTCGTATCCCTGTTATTACTTTCGTCGCTCTAACGTTTTCAATTCAATCTGAATATTCTTTTTATTTTAACTTTCAACATTTGTAGTATTTTGTATTAAACGCTTGGATGTACGAAGAAATTAATAACTTTGCTCAATGGCTCTTTGTCACAAATAAATGAAATGTATCTAAAAAATGAAATGAAATGTAGTTCAAAATATATAAAGTTGCGAATGCTTTGCAATTTTGATCGACGACGAGATATGACATCACAATATTCTTATAATTAAAAAAAATTTTGTATATAAATGCCTAACAATAAAGCGAAAAATTTAATTAAAAGTTCCGAGGACCCAAAAATCCGACCGATTCAATAGCCACGTGGTTTTGTTAGCGATGGAAGCAGGTTATAACGGTGCATTGGAATGGTCACCCAGTGTCCTACATTCCGTTCATTTTGTATGATATTACTCCAGCACACCTCGGGCGATAGCTTTCTTCAAACGTGTCAGCGCGTGTGAAGCCGTGACTCAAAAGAAAAAAAGTAAAAATCACTTCTCAACACAACGGACTTGAACAAATCAAATTCTCTCGCTTATTTTCCATACGTTAAACTGTTCAAAGACATTCAATTTTTCTGAATCAATCTGACATTAGTTCTTATATTAAAAAAAAATATATATAGTATTATCATTGTGCAACCCCCAATCAGCAAATGTGAATTATCTAAATGCAAGCGAGATCCAATTCGATTGTGACAGTCGAAAGTCGAACAAACTCTCGATAAATTGAAGGTAAACCTCGAGAAAGTTCGAATCGCGCTCGGCGAACCGCGTCCTTTGCGGCTAAGTGCATTGCAACCGTTGATCTGACGTCGCAACTGCAGGTCTACCGCAGCTAGGCTATCCGGAGGTGGAACCCATAATTTTAGACGAGTTGCACATCGCGCTCGGCGCCGGCCCGGACGGCTACAGAGCGCAATTCAAAGACATACATGCAAAGGGAGTCTCCGCTTTGCGAGTGACCGGTCTCAGAACGCGGCTGAGCGACGACGAAGTGCAGCTGCAATTAGCGCTGAACATTCCCAAAATCAGAGCGGCCGCCAGATATCGATCCAGCGGGACCTTGATCTTGGTGCAAGCTAGCGGCGCCGGAGATTACTGGGGCGAATACGGTAAATCACTAAGATTATTAAATTCATTGATTTAATTAATCGACTAATTAACCTAATGTGTGCACACTGAGAGAGACACAAAACATCTAAAAAAAAATATTTATTTACGATGAACACTAATAACATATTTATTTAATCTAAATCCTTTTGTGTGTGTTGAAATACAATAAACGCTTGCTTTCACGAAAAGCAACGATTTTAGGAAAATGTATATTTTTTTATTTGAAAAACAATTTTCTTTTGACGTTAAAAAATATATACGTATATTAAAGTATAAGTAAATATGTTATAGTAAATTAATTATAGTAAATTAATATTCTTTTCATTTTTTTGGATATCTTCTTTCTCAGTGTAATTCAGCATGATTCAATGTCACTCCTGCGAATTTATTTGTCGTTTCAAAAAATAAATAATGAAAAAGAAAAAATTGTTAACCCTTCGAGAGGTTCATTCGTTGCACAGCGCCATCGGATTTCCCCGATGCGATTCGCAAGCCGAGTAAAATGTCAGTGGCACAAGTGTGTCACGATAGCGGTAACTTTCACCACCTGCGCAATCTATATTTGTTGTCAACAAAGTTACTTCGAGTGCTATTTCTTGATGAGTGCCATTTCACGGTAATGCCAAGCATTGATTCTGATTAAAAGTATAAAAGTAGCATACGCGAATATTAAGACCTGGTTTCGCCAATGAGACAAACTTGATTATTATATCAAGTGACTAATTAGTATAATTACTCAATTATAAGAGTACTTTATTAGAGCTGAAACGTAAACATTGAGAAAGTTTTATGTGAACTGGACTGTAGCGATCATGTAACTTTTCGAACAATGGACATGTAAACATTTGCACGTGAAACTTTGCACGAGTTTATCCTAGGGAAAAAGATACATGATCGATACTCTGATTCGAACAGCTGTCGCTGGCCCTCGCTATTGAACGCCTTGCGGATCGCAACACGATCTGCTTGTCGCGAGCGAAATACTCATGAGAGACTCCTCAAAGAGGATCTCTCTTGACCCCTACTGTATGCTCCTACCTGAAGGCAACTTGATATACAGAGGCTTCGCGTCTTTCGCACACCACGCTCTTTCGCTGTAAACTCATATATCGCTCATTCACGTTTACGAGTGCCACTTTTATTTTCCGTGACTTCAATCGTAATTCTTTTCGTTCACAGATGGCGTTAAGGCCAAGGTCTTCATCAGGGCAAAGCCGTTTTTGGTTCAGGGCCGCCGTTACCTCAGGTTGCAGCAACTGAAAATGGACTTTAGTGTGCAGAACATCAAAATGGGTGTCGAGAATGTGCGCGACAGCAACTCCATATTGCGTAAGTTTCAACTCCCATTCGGAGTTCCCGTACAATTTTCAAGCTGATTTTCAAACAGAACGGACAGGCGAATCCGAGTCGAAATTTTAGTCCCATTTTCGGCTTGGACTTTATAACATCTGTATATTCTGAAATATCTGAGTATATTTAATATATATAGAAACTGAAGTCCTGCTCAGCGTCTCGAGACGACAGAACATGCACAAAGTGTCCTTTTCTAATGCGGGTTCTAAAGAGGACCTCTCAGCAAAGCCAGTAGGTTGAATAAAATCAAAAGAGATTAATATAGACTTTAAACTATCAACGGCGTTAAGTGGAATATTGATCAACAGTAGTATTAAAATTTCGATTTGGGAAGTCGCATTACAATGCTTCCATTTGCACTCGACACATTTCCCTCTTTCTTCTTTTTTTTTCTTTCTTATTGTCTCTTTATTATTTCTTTCTTCTCTTTTCTTTTGGACAACCAATATTCGAAATCCGCCTGGAAAAGTCGAAAGAAAAACACAGAACACTACAGACGATCGTTAATTTCATTCGCGTTCTTCTTCAGCCTTGATCAGTGGTTAATCGCGTGCTTTTAGAGTGCGTGATAAAAAAGTTGAACATTGAGTTGGACGACCGAGAAAGATAAATAGATAGACAGATCGATCGGGACAGAGGAGAGCGAAGAAATAGTAATCTGCGCAGTATAATGACGATTATTTTCGTTCCGCAGTGGCGGCGCTGAATCTCTTCATCAACAGCAATAGCCAGGAGTTACTGAAGGAGATGAAGCCGGATCTGAGGCGAAAGCTGGTGCAGGTGATGTCGACCTTCGTTGAAAAACTGTTCGCGCAGGTGCCGTACGACGCCTGGATCACGGATTAAGGCGCTGACGAATCGCCGTGAACAAAAATCGATGGTCGTCACGCAGCTTGGGGAGGAAAAGAAGACGACGGAAACATTGTTCCCGCGACACAATGAACGATACAGTCCCGTTGCACTAATTACGGCGGGAATACCGGACGACAGTATGCGACGTGACTGATTACTCGGTATTTCCGAGCTCATTTGCGTCCAATCTTTTGCGCGCGAATCGTAAGAGCGAGAGAAGCGTCCGCGTACGCGATACAGGGTATTTCGTAGGATTCGTAAGGTTCAAGACTCCGAGAGCGAATATTCTTCCGGCATTGGATTCGACGGAAGCATTGTAACATATTTATATACCGAACAAACGCAATTTAGTTTACGCCGGCAATTTAGAGAAGAACGTTGGCTAAAAACTCTCGGCCGATCACTCTCACGCTTGTATCGTCTATCGATGATTCACGCGTTGCTTGTCTGATTGCTGCCTCTTTCGTGCAGTGACGAAGCTGAAAGAAGTTGAAAGCAAGGTGCGATCAATCGCGTTCGGATCATTCGGCTGTGCGCAACATTGTGCGCACGTGTATGTATTATGATTGAGTTATCCATATTCGGCTGCATCGTCACCGAACGTCACGTCATTTTATTCAGAATTCAACACGGCGGAAACAGTTTGGTTATATTGGATTGTGCGATAAGTGATTTCGAATTTCTCAGATAAAACGGCACGATTGTGTCTTGCACGCCGTTATAAATCTGTGTGAAGTGATTATCCTTTTAATCTATGATCTTTTTGCCGTTCTCCGTGTACATTGTTTCATGATATTACAATGACATAAAAATATAGTCATTGCATTTTACGTGAAAAATCCCAAATGACTCGTTACGCAATCCAATATTAACATGAAATTTGATTCTGATAAACGAACCAACGCGTTTCGAGGCTGAAGCAACGCGCAGCATTTCTAGTTGTTCGGAATCAAATTTGAGTCATAAAAATTAGACATTTCGAATCCTTCGGCCGAAACGCGTTCATTTGTTCATCAAAATTCAATCTCACATTAATACGAATAAATACTTTTCTCCGTGAGCGATAGGTGAGATATGCCGAGTCCAAAGGACTTCTAATTGTAGGTATACGCATAAGTTTCTCATTTACTGTGTATATACATATCACTATTGTCTTTTTTCTCTAGTATTATCAGAAAGGAAGGAATAAATGGCAAAAAGAAATGATTTGTAATTTTCCAATTTGTTTCGATCGTTGATATTAAGTTGATACGTTTCTATTCTCATAGTTTTTTCTGTTTATGTACTTGTATTGCGTTAATATTGCTAACGAGGATCCAAATATTGCGGTTCCGAAACATTCTTGTCATTTGTATCTCCAATAATGCTTGACATGCGCTAAAACTGCACTAAAACTTTAAAACGCGCTAAAATCTGGTTCTTAATAGCTTCTATATTTTATTTATTGGATTACAATCTGATATTTATGGTTATTTTGGTCAATTGAAAGACAAAAATGTTAACGTTGAAGGGAACCACGTGTCCAGTCATGTTGTGCTTTTGTTTCGCGGAAAGGAAACGTTCGCTTTTAATTTCACTTACTTGATGTTTCTTGCGTTTCCGTTACGTCATCGTCGCGACTTTGCGCGACGAAATACTCACGACGTCGCAATTAGTTTTGTAACCGTTAATCGCTGACAAAGTTCGGCTGACTCGTTAAATTACGCGACAGCATGCTAATCGTTTGCGAATGTCGATCGATGGGAGACGCGGCGCGCGATTCAGCGATGCGAGTTTTTCCGCTCTGCAAAATTGCGTTATTTGCATTGTCGGCGTGTGACAAGCACGACATCGTACCGACACGTGATGGTAATTGTGATAAATGAGAATCGACACGGAGAGATAAAGGCTATCGCACATGACATAACTGTATATGCATAACATAAGATCGTATAAACCAATGAACATCAAATATTAAGCATCAAGCATCAATATGGCAACTTGATACTCGCTCATTGGTCCATACGATTTTATATATATGCAGCTATATCATTGTATGTGTAAAAGCCATAAGAGCCATCGCACACAACATGCATAGCATCATGGACATAGTATACATGGACTCCGAACGCCATTTGTCCTATCGTCTAATTGAGTGAAGCCAACATCTAGAAAGAGAGCGAGAATAAAGGGGCTATAATTTTCTCCCTATTTTTTTTTGTTGCACGTGCATCTATTTCTCGTTTTTATAATATTATAGAGCGCAACAGCATCCCGATTGGACTGGTCTTACTTAAATCTTATTGCATACTTTGTCTGTGCAGAAAGTGACAGAGAACAGAGAGGCTGTACATTTTGACTTCACTTTTCTGGCTGTATGCGGAGTCTATGTATGTTGTGTCTATGCATAGCATAGATGCACATGCACAACATAAGACCATCTCGACCAATGAGCATGCTCTGCAAATCGATATAGCTACTTGACGCTACATGCTCATTCTTCGAGACGGTATTATGCTATAAAACTACCTCAATAAATGAACATCTAGGAGAAAGTTGCCATTTTGCAAAATATGCTCATCAGTTGAGACGTTCTTATGCTATGCACATGCAGCCATGTCATTTGTGTGCGATAGCTCTTAATCGGAAAGAGGGAGGAGGGAGCGGGCTCAGATGCGCCCAAACGAGATCGTTCGATCATTGCGCGGGAGGATCATTTTTCAAATCGGGAAATCGGGCTCCGTGAGAAACGGGGAGCGGCATTCGCGCAATTAAAAATCAGCATGCAAATCTTCGCTAATCGCGATTGCGATCTTATGACTCGTGACTTGTCATAAATCATATAATGGTAAGTATCAAATACTTGGTGCGAATGTATCAACGTGATCGCTAGTCACGAGTTTCACGTGACATCTTCTACGAGTTTATTGTGCGCTGTGATGATTAATTCGAGCGCGAGTGGGATCAGATAAGATGGTGATGCGGAGCTGTGAAAACGAATGCATCAAAGCGTTGACTTTGAACAGATCGACCGCAGTGACGTTGCACAATGATATGAACAGCGGGATATTCGCCAGTTTATATCGACTCTCTGGTCAAGTATTTCAATCTACGCTAAAAACGTCCTACGAGAGACTCTAGGTCTTTTTCACAAAGCAAATATATTTACGAGAAGCTCGTGATTTAACTGATTACACGTCAGCTCAATCGAAATTGAATTGTGTCTCTCTTTAGCATAAATCTGATAAAAAAATATATTAGCCTTGTGTACAGCCTTGTGTCAAGGTTGTTGTTTGAATGATCGATCGCGCACGATCTATCGTCAATTTATCCTTACTCCGATAAAAAAACACCCGTGAGTGCGCATTTATGTCAAGCACGATAAGCGATTTTTAAGGCAAAATATCAATCCAAAGGGATTCACGAGAAAACTGATTGTTCCGCGTAAAAGTGTCTCAACTCCCTCCGCAGTACTTGATAACAATGGACGATGTCATGAAGAAATATTGTAGAAAAAAGAAGAAAAAAATGAGAAAAGGCAGTCTCAACGTTGCAATAAGTTGCAAATTTCGAGGTTTCAAGGTCAAGTTGCAGTGTACATACCTGCGAAATACGCAGAAGTGCGGCAAGAAAAAATTCTGCGTTTACGATTTAAGATTAACTTTTTTCCCCTGAAGATATTATGCAAACACTACCGAAGGAAAGACTATATTTAAAAGTAATGATTCGATCCGCTCGCTCAATTGTAAGAATGTTGTTTCTTTACGAATGTTTATCCCATAAGCATATTCCTGATTAGTATGCAATAATTAATAGTTACATCAAGAATAAACTAGCTGTATAAATCTTAAGTTGTGAAAAAGCGAATTTCAATATAGAGCACAGGAAATTAATGCGAAAATGTTCATTGATCGGTAAAAATGTATTTCCTCGACAAGAGCGACTCTCCTTGCAAAGGAAGGTTTGAAAGTGTCCCTCGTCAATTTTTATGAACCTTGGATACATTGTGAAAAAGCTGAAATGAGATACGAGACACGTAGCTTCTCACGAACATTTTTAGAGATCGAAACATCTCGAAGATACTCCTTTATGTATTACAACTATCCATAAGTAATCAGGCATTTCAAAATGAAAGACATTTAAAAGCTTGTGGACAGAGCTCTTATCTTCTAATCAATGATATAACAAGTCGAATACTTCACCCACACAAATAACAAATAACTATAAAATATATTCATATACTACACAATTGAAAAGAAGAAATCGGTAAAAATAAAAGTCTGATAAATATTTGAGAGATTACTTAATTATACATCTAAAAAATATAATCTCATCCTCAGTGGAATATATGGCCTCGAGAGGATTCTGCTAACCCCCCCTCCCCAAAAAAAAAAATTCTAAGTAGAATATTTTTCTTATTTGTTTAGAAAAGGAAATATTCTTTCGAAAAAAAAGTTTTCTCTTAAAAAATAGAATTACAGAAAATAGAGTATTTTATAGTTAGAGTTCTTGTTTTAGATATTAGGATATTTTCCTTTTGATTTGAGAAGAATCCTCCCAATTATATTAATAGGCTTATATATAATAAGCTTAATCTAATTGTACTTACTTATAATGTATATTATATTAATTCTCTCTCCACACACAGTGAAATATAAGAGAATTTCGCTAAGGATGAGATTATATTTTTTTGGATGCGTACAATTAGCCCTTCTTTTATCGCTCGCAATTTCTCATCTCATCTTTTGATTTTCTTCATTCGATCTCTCTGTGTCATTTACCTCTCATCATACTTTTAATTTATCGCCATGAATACCCGCCGTAATCATCTCGCGCGTCTCTACAACTCTCAAACGGAGATTCCAGATCACCGTGCGATTCGTCGCTGAAGTTTTACATTCTAGCTTTGCTACCCGGCAAATAGCATTAACTCTCTGTTGAAAGTATGTCCATAATAAAAAAGCGCGATTACCATGTTTGCATTCTCACATAAGAAACCAGCCTTCTCAGTAATGTTTCGGCATACGAGATTAAGAAATGCGGTAGCATATCGCGTTAAGTAAACACATGAAGCAAGGAACAAGCGTGAGACTAGTCGCGTATATTTACGCGGCGTCTCTAATTGATCAGATGCAAGATTTCTCGTTCTGCTATAATGGCTTGTCCGATTAAAATGCTCTAATTGAAGTGATCTAAGTGCTTTCAATCGATTCCTGGAAGATCCAATTACAATAAGAAAATTGTCTTTATTTTTTCGCTACATACTTTAGTAGAGGACCTATTTTGGTTGAAATCATCTGCGGCAAAGACTGCGTAAATATATCGTCTTATGTCGGCGCATTACGTCCACTCGATTATCAAATCGTCGGATCGGAATACCGGTGATTTTCGCTGCGAGCGGTCCGTGATTTCCGGATTTGCTCAGCTGAGCGGCGGGCGGTACGAGACATGTTTGCGCCGCGTTTTACAAATTAATAGATCGGTAGGAGCCGGGAATTAGGATTCACGATTGCTAATGCGAACGATGTGTTCGCGTACTTGTCGCTGTATCATTACGTTTTCTCTCTCTCTTTTTCAAAAGAAAAATTAAAAAAATTAATTTTTGAAATGCGTTACTATACATAAAAATCTATCAAATTATGCAACTAACTGTAGTTATTTACTTTCTGTGCCAAAATATTTATCCACCTGATTAATCACTTTTTATAAACCTCTACTTGCTTTTTGTAATTACTTCTCATATTAGAATTTTATTACTTCCTGTAACGATACTTACTCACTTTATGCAAACGTTCTTACGAGGCTAAGACCTACAAGAAGAGAACTTTACAATAAAAATTACTGTAGAATGAAATATCGTATGTGTTATTATAACTTTTGAAACTGAAATGTACTATTAAAAGCTATATTTTTTTCAAAATTTGTGTTATATTCCTTAGAAAGATATAACTCACTGACAATCTATTCCTGGACTATTAAAATTACAGTAAAATTGAGGAAAACTTATATGAAGAAGAAACTAATATTTCCTCCTTGTAGGACAATACTCAACGCATTTATCTATCTATCTTTCTCGTTCTCCATCTATCCTCGTTTACTCTTGCAAAAACTATTGGAAAACCATTATTACTGAGAACCTGAATGTTCCGCATAACCCGTGAAGAGAATGATCACGAGAGTAAGACTTACAACACTCGAATGTGTGTTTGCGAGATGAAGCTCGTGCGCTGAGAT